AGCCCGTCGCGCCAGGGCTAATTTATTCGCATCCATGGCTTTCGCCGGGATCTGTTCTCTCTCTCTCTCTCTCTCTTTCTCTCTCTCTCTCTCTATATATATATATATATATGTCTCTCTCTCTCTCTCTCCCCCTTTCTCCCCATCTTGGCTGCCGTCGTATAGGTTATAAAGATAAGTGGCTGGCCAGGTCACAGCAATCCCGCCAATAACGTTTTGGTATCTTTCCCGGGCCTGCGCCCGAGTCCTCCTCCGCTTTGCTCTCCCTTTCTGTTTCACACATCCTGAACGGCACTCTTCGAGAGGGAACTGCACGTATCAGGCTTGCGTTGCATTGCCGTGGGCGGGAACGATTTTCAGCTGAGACGTGATCACACATCGTGGGGGCTGTTTTACATGTGAGCAGAAAGAAAGAGGCACGATTCTTGGGGGAGTTGTCCTAATCGGGGGGAAAGAAGTTTGCTTGACGCGGCACGGTTCGCAGTCGAGTTCCTTTACTCCTGCTCCTTGCCTGCTGTCTCCGCCTGGCCCCTCTTCTGCCTGCCCGCCCGCCCCTCCAGCCCTGGCCTCCCGCCTGGGCGTTCGTCGTCGTCTGGCTGCTTCTCCCCTCCTCGTCCCCTTCCGCCGGACAGTGCAACTTGCCTGGACCAGCGTGGCGGCATGTAGGGCCTCGGCAGGTGGAGCGGCGGCGGGTCCGCCGGCAGAAGCCCGGTGGAAGCTCAGAGTCCTGCGCGTTTGGTCTCTGCCTCCCCTGGTGGGAATCAGTCATCCTTGCATACCCTGTGGGCAAAGATTCGATGCCCTTGCACCTTTGCGCGGGTAGAATATGGCTACTGGTACGAATTGGTCCTGATGCGCTGCGCTTGTTCACCTCCGACCTCGACGCCCTATCCTGAGACACTTCCAGAAGCTGCACTTCGACAAAAGCTTGCTGCATGCACATGACGTGGCCAGTCTCTGCGAGAGTCGGGTCATTTCACAGTGTGCCCATCTGTCTTTCAAGCAATCGGCCCCTCTGTGGCGGGGCACGCCAGGCTTCCGCATGTGTATCCAGCGCGTGCCCTCCGCACCTTCCACAGCGCGAATCCAGCCAGCCATGTGTGCGTCTCCATCTTCGTGGTGGAGGGTTGTGGCCTAGGGGTGTGCGGTGGGTACATATGGAAGGGCCCATGAAATCGTCCAGGTGTTTGGGCTCCAGCTTCTCTCAGTGCGTTTCCTGCCTCCCCGCCCTCATTCGCGCACGCCTCCTCGGGCCACGGCGCGCTCACCACCCTCGACCTCCCCCCCTTCCTTTTCTCAGGAGGAAAAGGAACACACAGACACAGCTCATCCTCGAATCCATAGAACAGATGGGAAAATATGGGAAGTGGGGGGAAAACAGAAACCCAGAAAAGATGGGAAAATATGGAAACATTTTTGTTTGTGTGTATTCATTTGTGTGTCCTGGGGCCCCTTCATTCTCACACTCGTGACGAGAAGCCCAAGTGGGCCCGTCACGCAGCAGACCTCGCAGATAGGGTTCTGGGTCCGTCTGCGGGCGCCGTTGTCGTCATTGAGATTATTTGGGCGTCCTCTCCAGAAAGAATCTGGCCTAGGGGCAGATATCTTTTCTTCCATCCATCCGCGCTTCTTGCCTTGATCGTAGTTTATCTGCATTGCCGGTGACGACGCCGAGTCAGCGGGTCGAGGTTCGACGATCGATGTGTTCCATCGATCGATGTCGGCCTCATCGGGGGTTGCTCCGGCCCTGTGGCAATCGAGCGCTTCTCCGGGATGCAAAGCTTGCCTGGGCGGCGACTTGAAACAGAGTTGGGGGGTCCGGCGAAGGAGCAGGAGAGCATGCCGCGAGACCTGTGCAGTCTCTGTCCTCGCCTCTTCGGGGCACCCCTCTCGGGGGCCCAAGTTGCCACGGCCAGCTTCGCCTCGGAGTCCTGGGCAGAACGCACCGCGGGGCCCCTTTCGATCCGACCGGTCCGCGACGATGTCGACGTCGGCCGGCCTGATCCTATCCGATTCCGGTCGGGAGCCGTGGGACGGGGGTCAATGCAAACGGGGGCCAGCCAGGGCGCCAGATCCTGCAGGATCCTGCGACGACCCCCTCTGGCTGACCCGGGTTAGCGAGCCGCTCGTGGCCGCGAGGCGGCGGCGCATATTGGCTGACCCGGGTGTGCGAAGATCTGCGTTGCAGTTTTTTTGTTCCTGCATTGCAGTTTTTGGTTTCCTGATGACCCGGGTCTGGATTGACCCGGGTCAGAAGATCCCCGATCCGATATTTCGGATAACTGATGCGGACCGATGTTTGCCCGGCGTCGTTGTGCATCTTGGCGCGACTGGTCCGACTCGATTGCGACTCTGTGCCGACATTGCCACTTGGATGTGCATTCCGATCGGATCTGATTTCTCGATTCGATGCTGACTGATGCTGCCCCAGGAGAGGTCCCAGGCGCAGCGGGGTAGCGGTATCTTGCTGTTTTATTATTGAGGAGTCTCTGGCTGAACTCCGCGGCCTTCGGCTTCAGCCCGTCGCAGATGTGATGCGGCTCCCGCGCAGCAGCAGAAGAAGAGACGGCGCCTCCAGGGCGGGGGGTGGGGGCTTTTGAGGTGATTGTTTCATGGAGCTGGATACACGTGCAGATGCTGGCCTGGGCGAGACTTCGATACACATGTGGCCAGATGTCTTCCCTGGATTCGGCCCGCTGTCTTTCCGCAAGTGTATCCAGCGCGTGGCCTCAGAATCTTCCACATGTGGACCCCCGGCATGTGTGTGTGTGTGTGTTTGTGTGTGTGTGTGTTTGTGTGTGTGTGTGTGTGTGTGTGTGTGTGTGTGTGTGTGTGTGTGTGTGTGTGTGTGTGTGTGTGCGTGCGTGCGTGCGTGCGTGCGTGCGTGTGTGTGTGTGTGTGTATTCCAGCTTCGCGGTGCGCATCCCTCCCATGGGGAATAGAATTCCCAGGACCGACCCCAGGAAACAGTGGAAATGGATACTTCCGTGCCCACCAGAGTCCAGAGGTGTCCATACCTACCGTCTCCTGAGGTCCTGGGACGCCAGTTCCCAAGGCGGTGGGGATGCCTAGATTCCGGCCTCAGAGGGGTGGGGGGGGGGGTCCGAGCAGCCACTGTCGGCAAGAGCGGCTCGTCGGCCCAGTCCCGCGCCCAGACTTGCGCGATCGTGTCCCGCGTTTTTTCTGTGCGCCTGCACTGTTCGTGCCAGCTCGTCCTCACTCCTCGGCTCGGTCGCCCAAGGAGGAGATGCGGCTGTACCCCTGGGCCCGAAGCCTTCAGCCTGGTCCGCAGGACTGGGCGGCACTGTTTTGCAGAAGAGCTGGTTCCCCCGACCCTCTCGCACAGTGAAGCCGTGATCTTGCTTCGAGGGATACCCAGCCGAGAACGCGAGGCGGGATGCCTGGGAGCACCAGGCCCCTATAGGCCCCTTGGGGCCTGGCGGCCGCGGTGTGCGGGGTGTGCGAGGCGGGTCGGGAGCTTGTGGCCTGAAGCGCGTCAACCTGTCGGGTGGGAGAGGACCACGGCGGGAGATGTGAGGCCATCTTCGACCTTTGGGGGCTCATGCCGGGCCCCGCGACCGTCAAACAAGAACTCGGGATGCAAAGCCGCTCTTGTGGAAGGGGTCTAGGGTCTAGACCTCCAGGTGTCGTCCACGTTGGAAATCACGACGTCGGGTGTGTACTGGGCGCAAGCCCTGGGACACTCCATCTGATGCTGAAGGCACGGTGGCGGATAGTCGTTCACATCGATGGAGGAGCACCACCCTGTCCTTCAGCAACGGCGTTCATTTGTTTTGGGATGTTTTGGCCAGTTTGCTGAACAACCCGTTCTTGTTCGACTGTAGTTCAGGTGCGTTGAAGACAGAACTGCGCTTGTAGGGGTGCTCATTGTGATGGCTTCTCTTTTCCCCTCGATAATGCTTGTTCTTTCCCCAATCAGAGCTTGCCTCTGTAGGGGACCTAGCGGATTCATAAGGTTAGGTGAGGTGCGTCGGGAAGTTTCCCCGGTGCTTGGGTGCCCATGTGCCAGGGGCGCCTCGGGAATTGTCTCAAGTGTCCGGGTGCTTGGGTGCCCGGGTGCCCAGGTGCCCGGGTGCCCTAATATCCCATGGCCCTAAAGCCCTACAGCCCTATGGCCCTATAGCCCTATAGCCTCATAGCCCAATAGCCCAATCGCCCTATAGCCCAATCGCCCTATAGCCCCTAAGCCCTATAGCCCAATCGCCCTATGCACCGACCCTGAACGACGACGACGACGACGACGACGACCACGACAACGACGACGACGCCTCGATGACCGTCTTGGGGGGCTTCTTCGGGGCCTCTGGGGGCCTCCTGGACGCCTCTAAGGCCGAGGGCTCGAAATGTCCGTTCGGGTGCCCCGTCTGAGCTCCCTCTTGTACCCGTCTTGGGGGCCTCTTGGGCTGTCTTGGAGGCCTCTTGGCGGTCTTGGGGCACTCTTGGGTCGTTTTGAGGCCCTCTTCGACCCGCTTCCACCGGGGATTCCTTGTCTTCCATGTCAACAGCAGCTCCCTCCCAGCCTGGTGTATTGGCGGCGGCGCCGTTGAAGCGACGGCTGTCCGTCGCTACGCTCGACACCTTCGTTGCACGTGCGTTGGATCATCGATATGACATGTTGGGAGATCTGAAAATAAGCGCTATCCGTGTCCCTGGAGGGCGGGGCAACGGCACACGGCGGTCTAGTGTTTGTCTGGTGGAGGCCGTAACGCCAATCCCAGGATGTCTCTCTCGCGGGAGGCCCTTGCACACAACCCCCCCAGCGACCGGCACGTGTGACATGGAGGAAAGCTGGAGCGTTGACGAAGGAAGCGTTGGCGACCAGCCGCTTGCCTCCGAGAGTGGGGCTGCAGTAGCCGATCGAGCCGTCCCGGCGCCAGGTCGAGCTGATCCGAAAGGCTGCTGCGCAGCAGGCCTGGCAGCCGATTTGGCTCAAGCGTGCGGCCACCTGCCGCACGGAACCCCGCTCCTCCCCGTCGGACATGGCCGTGCGCATTGCCTGGCTGCGCGTCGGCGACCTGCGCTTGCGAGACAACCCCGCGCTGCACGCCGCAGCAGAAGGCGGCGCGAGGGTGGTGCCCGCCTTCGTGTGGTGCCCCGCCGAGGAGCGGCAGTTCACCTGCGCGGAGGATCGGAGACGAGAAGACGGCATGAACAGAAACCGTCCAAGGTCCGCGCGGAGTCCTTGGATCGGCGCTGGACCCTCGTTGCGGCGCCTCCGGCGCCGCCCCTGGCGCGCTCCGCGTGCCAGGGACGGGGGGTCCAGCGCCGAGCTAAAAAAACCCGCGCGGACCCCCGACGGTTGATGTGTATGCAGCCTCCTGCCCCTCTCTTGATGGGAGCGTTTTCCACCACCACCACCACCATAAGTTGGAGGGGGGAAGGAGGACGAGGAGGAGGACGAAGAGGAGGAGTACGAAGAGGAGGAGGAGGAGGAGGGCACCCTCCCCCTCCAACTTATGGTGGTGGTGGTGGAAAACAGGCCCATCATCTCTATCGAGGAGGCTGCCAGCAGCGGCAGGGACTGGTCGTACGAGGGCACCGCGATCCAGGCGCTCCTGCCGGCCGCCCTGCGCTCGCTCGACAGCGAGCTCCACAGGCGCTACGGCAACCGGCTGCGCATCCTCTGCACGTCTGGCGAGGCGCCAGCGGGGGCGGCGTTGTTGGAGGGGCCAGGCACTCTCGGCATCGCGAGCCAATTCGCGACGGGATGGCTGCATGATTGCTCTCGCTTCGCGGGGTGCACGTCCGGAGCACGTGCAGTCCAGTCGTTGCGGGGCCTCGTGGGAGCCTCTGCAGGGCCTCCTGGAAGCTTTTTGAAAGCGAATTGGAGCATCCTGGGGGCCTGTTTGGGGCTTCTGGGCCGTTTCGGGGCGCTCTGGCGCCGCGTGGCCCCTTCGGCCTCTCGCGGCCGCCTTGGCCCTTTCGGGGTCCTCCGGGGCCGTTTTGGTGGCCTCTTGAACCGTCTTGGGGGCCTTTTTGTACCGTCTTGGGGGCTTGTTGTGCCGTCCCCGTTTTGGGACCATCTTGGAGGCTGATTGAGCCGTCATGGGCTCCTGAGAGACGAACGTGGCGAGATCACAATAATCTGTCAGAAGCCATTGGAAAAATTATGGAGGCCCCTTTCGGGGTCCTTTGGGCCCTCTTGGGCCTTTTTTGGTGGCTTGGGGGCCATATTGAAGCCATTTGGGGCCTTCGTGGAGCCGTTTTGGCCCGTACTGAAGCCATCTTGAGCCGTCTTGACGCCCTCATGGACCCGCCAGAGGCCCCAGGACCCCAAATCATAGATTTTCCATTGATTCTTGTAGTTTTTGAAGCCCAGAAAGTGGGTCGACGTATGCGGCGCGACTCCAGGGGGTGATTTTGGGGGCCCCGTGGGAGCCTCGTGGGTGCCTCTGCGACGCCACTGTAGAGCCTCTCAGGGGTTCTTTGGGCGCTTCAGTGAGGCTTCTTGGGGACCCATTGGAGGCCTCTGGGGGACCTCTTGAGGACCTCTCGGAGCCCCGTGTGGGCGTCTTGGGCCGTCTTGGGGCGCCCTTGCGCTGTTTAGTCCCATCGGAGGCCGTTTTTTGGGCCTCTAAAAGCCGCCACGGTGCTCTCTTGGGGTCCTCTTTGGATGTCGTGGGGCGTTTTGGGGGCCTCTTTGGGCCGTTTTGAGGCCCTCCTGGGCAGTTGTGGGGCCCTCCTGGGCCTTCTTGGGGCCCTCTTGGGGGCTTCCTGATTTGTATTGGGGAATCGAACAAGGCGAACATGTGCAAATTCTCCAAACATCCCGTAGGCAAATCAACGATTTTGGCTTCTGGAGGCGCTTTTATGTGTCCTCTTGGGGCCCTCTTGGGCCGTCTTGGGGGCTTGTCGGGCCCTCTTGGAGCTATCTGAACCCGCCTTGGTGTCGTTTTGGCTTGTCCCGAGGCCATCCTCAGCCATCGCGACGCCCTCGTAGGCCCCAATAGGCCCAAGGGGCCCAAATCATAGATTTTCCATGGGTGCTTGTAGATCTGGAGTCCCAGAAAAGGGGCCGTCACGCTCGGATCGACGGAAGTAGCGCGACTCCAGGGGGGTAGGGGGAGACAGAATATTGCAAACTAATACAACATGTAGAAATTGTGCAGTCATTGGATACATGTGATACTAGAGTTAGGGGGGAGACAGTAGTGCAGCACAAAAGAACTTGTAGCAATTGTGCAACCAGTGGCTACACTGGATACGTTGCATTACGGCATCAGCGGACTTGCCTCCTGCAACACGTCACTTGCAGACGTGGATTCCTTTCGCTTCGTGGGGTGCACGACCAGAGCACGTGCAGTCCAGACGTTGTGGGGCCTGGTGGAAGACTCTTTGGGGCCTCTTGTGGGTTTCTTGGGGCTTCTAGGGGCTTCTTTGGAGCCTCTTGGGGCCTCTTGGGGGCGTCTTGGGCCGTCTTGAGGCGCTCTTGCGCCGTTTGGCTCCTTCGGAGGCCATCCTGTGGGCCTCTCGCGGCCGCCTGAGGGCTCTCGTGGGGTCCTCTTGGGCCGTCTTGGAGGCCTGGTGGGCCATGCTGGGGGCCTCTTTGGGCCGTCTTTGGGTCCTCTTTGGCCCTCTTGGGATCCTCTTCGGGGCTTCTGGGACCGTCCTGGGACCATCTTGGAGGCTGCTTGGGCCGTCATGGACCTTTAAGGAAAGAAAAAAGCGAGACCGCTAAAGTCCTTCAAAACCTCAGGAAAATCACTAATTTTGGCTTCTGGAGGCGCTCTTGGGGGTCCTCTTGGGGCCATCTTGGACCGTCTTGGGGTCGTCTTGGCCCGTCTTGAGGCAATCTTGAGCCGTCTTGACGCACTCTTGGAACCTCGAAGAGGCCCCAGGGGCCCAAATCATCGATTGCCCATCGGTTTCGTAGGTTTCGAAGCCCATAAGGGCTGCATCACGCTTAGCTCTCTTCGGGACCTGTTGGGCCGTCTTTGGCGCTGTAATAGCCCAAAGGGCGCACGTGGTAGACGTGCACGTTTTCCCCGAAGGAGTGGGACGCGCTTTGCTTCTTAAAGCTCTGTCTGGAAGCCTCTCGGAGGCCTCTCAGGGCGTCTTGTGGGGATCGAAGGCCGTCCAGAGGTTACCTCGGGCGTTTTGGAAGAGCAGTCTGGAAGCGTTTTGGGTGCCGAAGGCTCGAACCGCCCGATCGGATGCCCCCTCGGGGCACCCAGCTGGGGCCGTCCCGGGGCCCTTTGTGGGCCGTCTATGGGGGTGTCTTGGCCCGTCTTGGAGTGATCTCGGGTTGTCTTGGAGCCCTCTTGGAGGCCTCTTGGCCCTCCTAGAGGCGCACCTGCTAACATATTTGCGGTCCGAAGGGCATGGGGCGATCTGTGTTTCTGGAAGCTTCTTGGAGGCTTCTTGGGGCGTCTTGGGATATATTTGTCGGCTGTCTGAGGGCTATTTTGGGCGGCTGGGAAGAGCAGTCTCGGAGCCTTTGGAAATCGAGAACTCGAAATTTCCATTTGGATTCTCCTGCGGGGTCCCAGCAGGAGCCGTCCTGGGGCCCTTTTGGGCCGTCTGGGGGGGTTCTTGACCTGTCGTGGGGTTATCTTGGGCCGTTTTGGAGCTCTTTCGGGCTCTGTTGGGCCATTTCGGACGCTGTAATAGCCCAAGGGGCGAACCTGCTAACCATGTGGATTTCCCCAAGGGGATGGGACGATTGCTTGCTTATGGAAGGATTTTTTGGAAGCCTTTGGGAGGCCTCCTGTTGCGTCTTGGGAGGATTGTGGATTGTCTGGAGGCCATGTCGGGCGTCTTGGAGCGATCTTTCATCGTATCGGGACGCTCTTGGACCGTCTTTGGGGCCTCTTGGGACCCTCTTGGCCCGTTGTGGAGCCCTCTATCCCCCCATGACGCGTTCGTCCTGCGGTCGTGCCTGGCCGGGGGGAGGGGTCGAATTCCAGGTTTGGGGTCCCTTGGGGGGGATCTTGGGGGTGAAGGGTCTCGCACGCCAAGAGACCCACAAGTGGTCGGCGGATTCCTCCTGGGGGCCTGTGCTGGGCTCCAAGTTTTCGTCTGCCCCCCCCTCTTCCTGAAAAGTAGGGTCAGCTATCCCCCTTGGTTGCACATTTGCATCTGGGCCTCCCCGGGCACACTAACATGTGAAGACCGCTGACGCTTCGGAATTGGGTAGCCGCTCTGATTCAAGTTCCTCCTCGCTTTTGCGCGGATCAGCCGAGTGAGCAGACATGTGCGTGTGCGACGAGGCAATGGTAACGATGTTTCCTCGACGCAGAAGGTCGAGTCTCGGTGTGGTCAACGATCGTGGGTCTCAGTGAGCCGCACGTCCTTTGCCACTGTTGTGAGGCGTGCCTCTCTGCGGCCCCCTTGTGGAAAAGGGCGAGACTGAACGGAAGGAACTCAGCGAGGGGGAGGGGCTGGATTGTGGTTGTTTGTGTGTGTGTGTGTGTGTGTGTGACCTTGGCGCCTGGCCGAATTCCTGCAGCCCCCTCAGAGTGGGCCCAGCAGGGTGCCGAAGGCGGCCGGCCTGCCGCCTCCGAGATGGCCCCGGGAAGCGGAACGGGGGAGCGGGGCGCAGGTGTGAATAGAACCCGTGTAATACCCTCATATATACTCCTTATCCTTACCTCTCCTGCGCCTGGCCGTTTGGGCTCAGGTATTGGGACAGATCGATCAGACCTTTGATCGTGCAGGAGGGAAAGACATCCATCTATCCCTCCTTCCCTCTACCAACGGATCAGGGGTTCTGTACCCTTGTACTTCAAACCCATACACAGCAGGTGCCGGGACGATTCTCGGAGGGCGTCTTCGAAGACGGGGGGGCTTCTGAGAAGCCCCCGTGCGATCTCGCAAGGCAGCCGCCCTCGTGCTGCCCCACTGTGAGCGCCGGCGAAAGTTAGTGCAGGGCGACGGTTCAGAAATGCCCAGGGGGGCCCGCCACGCAGCAGCAATTGGGATCCAGGCTTGCTCGCTGGCGTCGTGGCCGCCGCCACTAAGATTCATCCATCGTTCTCCCCAAAGTCCTGTGAGATCGTCCAGCGGCAGGAAAGAATGCTCTTCATCGTCCCACAGCGGTTCCCCACCCGACAGGTCGGGATTGTTAGATTTAGAGAGAAGCTCCCGACCTGCCAAGCACACCTTGCATACCGCGGCCGCCAGGCACAAATTGCTCCGGCGCTCCTCGGGTATCCTGCCTCGTGCCTTCGACGAACGGCGGCTGCATGCCGCGGCTGGCAGGCCCACAGTGTGGCGGTGCTCTCTGGGTATCCCGCCTCGCGTTCTTGGGCGGGGATCGCTCAAAGCAAGCCATCAAGATAATAAACACGATGATTACATTTCAGATGTCGCGGGATCTTGTCGACACCGATCTTGGTCATGGTCCGTGCCGGCCGTCGCCGAAACGCGAGGATGATCCACGAATTGGCGCTGACCAGGATGGACGATGCTCAAGACCGAGGCCGACGTTTCCGCTTTTAGTCTTGGTCATGGCCCTCGCTCTATCCCTCCCCAAACTAGTATCTGAATCGTCCTCCTACACGAGCCCAGGGGGGGAAGTCAGGGGGGGGCGGGCCTTGCTTGTCAGCAGGCTCGTGAGGCCTCCGGCCGTCTGAGAACTCGCCGAGCACCGGCCGCCTGTGGCCGGACATTCCGCCGAGAACCGCCGCCGGTCCCGAACCTGGCACTTCCCCCCCTCTCGCTTCCCCCTCGGGCGCGCTGCCGATCCTCGTGGATCCGAGAGTCGGGCCAGACGAAAAAGGGGGGATTGGGAAAGGGGGGGGTACGAAATCTGCTGCGTGCAGCCGGAGTCGGCCTCACCGAGGGGCCCATTCCTCGATCGATACATGGCCGCCTGCGTTGCCGGGAGGCGCCCGAAAAATCAGCTACGTGAGCCGATCCGCAAACCCCCCTTTTGCCATCCCCCCCTTTCGCCCGACCCGAGAGAGGCAGCCGCCGTTTGCCCCGCCCCTCGCGAAGCGCCCCTGCCCGCGGCCCCTCCCCGAGCCCCGAGCGTGTTTCTCGCGAGGCGGGCGACTCCACGGGCGGGCGGCTGCTCCGGCTCGCGGCCGAGGCGCCGGAGAAAAAAAGAGCACGCAAGGCGGTTACGCCTTGCGGGTGCCGGGTCCTGACCCTGGAATCCTCTGCACGAGCGAGATGGGCACAGAAAGAATGGGTACGATGCCCAACAGCAGTTCCTGCTCATTTTGAACAGGGCTCGCTGTCCGCGCCGCCGCGGCCTGTGTCCATTTGAGACAGAAGGCCGCCTGCCCAACAGCGGCCGCTCTTGGTTCGGGACAGCATGTGCTGTTGGGCATTGTACCCCTTCTTTCCGTGCCCATTTCGGGCGTCCAAATGGAAGGCACATCCAAACATTCATGTGTGTTGCTCGTTTCCCCCGCAGCGGCTCCGTTCGGAGGGGCCGCGCGGCATCTGACAAAAGTCCTGCCCCCTCTCAGCGAACAGAAGCCTCGGGGCCCGTGCGCCTCGAGGGACGGGGGGCTCCCAGGGCCGGCAGAGAGCGATTCAGGATGGCGGCGTGGCCCCCGGGGATACCCCCTGGCCGTCAGGACGTGTTTTTTTTCTGCATGGATGCCGAGGCCTGGCGGCGCGCGGAGTCTAGACATAGGGGGCCACATCCCCCAAGATCTTTTAGGGGGAGGGTGGGGTTGACTTCGTTCGGGAGCTCCCGAGCGAAGTGAACCCCACGCTCCCCCTCAAAAGTCGTAGGGGGTAGGGGTAGGGTTCGCATGCGGCCCCCTGACCTTCTTTTCTGCGTTGATGCCGAGACCTGGCGGCGCGCGGAATCCAGACATCCGCCGCCCGGAACAGATCGACGCGGTCAGTTTGTCGCCACGTGTGGCCTCTGTAGGTCAGTCTCGGACCTGGCGACCGTCGACAGAGGCTGGGGAGGGTCGAGAGGTCGTGTAGAGCGATACTCAACATAACAAATCGCAGGGGGGGTCGGAAGGGCCCCCCCCCCCGGCGTTCAAATGGCAGGGGGGGGGGCTAGGGGGGGAAGCCCCCCCCCCCCCCCCCCTCCTCGCAAACGAGAGGCTGGGGGAGGGCTAAGGGCCCCTCCCCTCCCCCAGCGAAGGGGGGCGTCAGAGAGACAACCCCTCCCTTCGCTCTGCCTTCTTTCTCGTCGTTCCTGGCGCGCTGGGGGGGGGGGGGGGCCCTTCCAGGTGCCCCCCGCGGCCGTGGCATTTCCCTTCGTTTCTGCAGCGCTGCAGTTGTGGAAATTTTTGTTCTTCCTTCCTCCCACCGTGCAGGCGGAGGAGGAGGAGAGGAGGAGGAGGAGGAGGAGGAGGAGGAGGAGGAGGAGGAGGAGGAGGAGGAGGAGGAGGAGGAGGAGGAGGAGGAGGAGAAGAAGGGAGAGGAGAAGGAGGACGCCCCTGGCGCCACTGGCGATCGGAGCGAGTGGTCCCCCGGGTTGCATCGTGCTCTGGCTCGGCCCTCGGCGAGTCCAGCTGTGGCGAGGACGGCTGCCCAGGATTTCCCAACAGAGCGAGCACTGGCTCGCTCCGGAGTGCGCTGGCAGGCCCCGGGGCCCTCTTTTCCTCTCTCCTCCGCCACCCTCTGAACTTTCAGTCTCGAGGGATCTTCAATTCTCGATCGATTCTCCCTCCTCGATCTTCGATCAAACCTCGATCCTCGCTCCTCGAGCGAACCTCGATATTCGATCTTCTCCTCCTCCTCCTGTCACTAGCCCTTCTCCTTAGCATCAGTGTCGTATTCATCCTCCTCCCTCTCCTCCTTCTCCTCATCATCATCCTCGTCATCATCATCATCATCCTCGTCCTCACCATGTTTTCCCCATCCTTCTCATCGTCATTCTCCTCCTTATCCGTATCCTCGTAGTCGTCTTCCTGGCACCCCTCGTCCTGGTTCTCATCCTCATCGTCCTCATCATTTCTGCATTCTCGTCCTCGTCCTGGTTCTCATCCTCCACGTCCTCATCATGTCTGCATTCGGGTTCGAGAGTAGTGTTAGCAGTTGGGGTACAGGGTGTTCGGTTAAGGTTAAGGCCAGCGTCAGAGGAGTGCGGATGAGGGATTAGGTATGAACTTAGGTTACGGGGTAGGGTTAGGGAGTGCGGGGCGGGGGGGGGCTCTTCCTTCGGGGCGCGGGGGGGGAGAGAGTCTCGTGTGCCGGGGGCGGGGGGAGAGTTCTTCTTCTGAGTGCGGAAGAGGAGAGAGAGTTTCGAATGCCGGGGAGGGAGGGGGACCATCTCCTTCTGAGCGCGGGAGGGGAGAGAGAGCTTCGAGTGCCGGGGGGGGGGGGGGGGGGCACCCCTTCTGAGCGCGGGAGGGGAGAGAGAGCTAGCTTCGAGTGCTGAGGGGGGAGGGGGGGGGGCCCTTCTGGGCGCCGGCGGGGAGAGAGAGCTTCGAGCGCCGAGGGGGGGGGGGGGGGGGGTCCCCCCCTTCTGGGCGCGGGCGGGAAACAGTCGAATGCCTCCTCGTCCGGGCGCGGGCAGGATAAACTTTCGAATGTTGGAGAGAGGCGGAATCCCTCCCTTCTGGGCGCGGGCACGGAGAGTCTCGAGTGCCGGGGGGGGGGGTTCCCCCCCTTGTGAGCGCGGGAGGAGAGAGTGAGTCTCGAGTGCCCGGGGGGGGGGAGCCCCTTGTGAGCGCGGGAGGAGAGAGTGAGTCGCGAGTGCCGGAGGGGGGGGGGGGTCCCACCTTGTGGGCGCGGAAGGAAAGAGTGAGTCGCGAGTGCTGGGGGAGTGGGGGAGGTTCCCTCCTTCTGGGCGCGGGAAGAGAGACTCGAGTGCCGGGGAGGGGGCTCTAGCGCGCAACAGGACGAGAGCCTCGAGTGTCCGGGGGGTGGGGCGGTCCCCCCTTTGCCCCTACCACCACCTCTGCAGTGCGCAGGGGGGGGGGGGCTCCCCTTTGAGTCTCCCCCCCCGCGGTTGCTGAGGGTTTTTTTGTTGGGTATCGCTCTCCCAGAGGTCGGGGGGTCCACGCATGGGAAAACATCGAAGCGCCGGATGTCTGGAGCAAAAGGAGGCCCGATCCTCGACCCTCCTCGTAATGGGGACGCCCGATCCTCGACACTCCTCGTGATCCCCCTCCTCCTCCTCCTCCTCCTCCTCCTCCTCCTCCTCCTCCTCCTCCTCCTCCCTTTCCTTCTTCTCCTCCTCCTCCTCCTCCTCCTCCTCCTTCTCCTCCTCCTCCTCCTCCTCCTCCTCCTCCTCTTCCTCCTCCTCCCTCATCCCTCCCCCTCTCCCCGTGCCGCGACGGGAGCTTCTTGGCACCTTCCTGCTGCAGGCCCCAGGCCCAGGGAAGGGGAGGAGAGCCGTGGAGGCCCCACGCGGCGAGAGATCAGGGCGTCGGGGGTCTGGCGTCGGCGCCGCACCCCTGCCCGTGCGGTCACCGCCGGGCCCTGCCCCCGCCGCCCCTCGATTTTTTGGCCGGAACGGCTTGGCATGGAAGGGTGAAGTTCGGCTGGACGGCAACATACGAGGGGGGGCTCGAGGATGTCAGGAAAGTGGCCCTAAAAGAAACAGTTTTTTTATAAACAAATTTGGCATGGACGTTGTTTCCCCCGTTCTTGACTTGGCGTGCTGGAAGTCATCAGGTTTGTGCGCATTTGGCAACAGGTCCCAGCAAGAGACATGACAACGCTAAATAAACAATTGTCTTTCTCCGTTTCGAGATCCGCTCTTTGCTTGCATCTTTACTGCGATCCTTTTGCCCTTCTCTGGTCGTCGCGGCTGGCTGGTCGCGGGGCCTGCGGGCCTGTCCCGCGCCGGTTGAGGATTTTGGGGGCCGTTTTAGATTTTTGTTTTCCGCTCTGCGCGCCGACCTGCAGGGACGGGAGGCGGCAGGAGCGGGAGAACCGGAGCGAAGACGGCAGTGAAGACAAGGAACAGCGTTGGACAAGAAAGCAAAACGACGCACACAAAATGGAGATTCACGGTGGTGGACCCCTGGCAACGCTTAAGAAATGCAGTGCCAAATGCCAACACAAACGCAGCGGCTTTTTGTTCTAAACTTCGTACAGCCGAGCACGAGCCCAGAAACCAAAAGGGCTCAAAAAGATGCACAGGGCGCTAGCAAGCAGCACCGTGCAACCTCATCCCTTATAACGGCCTCTTGGCTGCCACCGCGGGCCCGAGAGGAGTGGGGACAGGTGCACGCGTCTTCGCCCCCTCGCCAACGAACACCCGAGAGAGTTCGCTGGTGCCCGCCTCACATCTACACCCCGCGAAATGCTTAAGAAATCATGGGTTAAGAAATTCATAGTCTCAGAACTTGAATAAACACCCAACCTTTCCATGAAAATCTCAAGATTTACATTGAAACGTTTAGAATAATCGAGACTCTGGCCGAAAACTTAAGTTTTCTTAAGCATCGCCTGAGGTGTATGAGCCCCCCCACCTCTGCCCAGGGGGGGCCTGGGATCTGGACTGTCAAGGGGAATCGGGAGCCTTAAGACGGGGGTCAATGCAAACGGGGGTCAGCCAGAGCGCCCGAGCTTGCAGGATCCTGCAGGGCCAGGGTCGCACGGACCCGGGTGCGGGTGCAGGGTCCTGCAGGATCTTGCAGGACCCTGCGCATGGACCCGGGCTTGGGCGCAGGATCTTGCAGGACTCTGCAAGGCCTGACTCACCCGGGTCTGGAGTGACCCGGGTCAGAAGATCCGGTTGCCCCGGGCGGCTGCTGCCTTCCTAGGGGGCGGGGCGCGAGCCGGGGCGGTGGCGCCGGCCCCGAGCGTCCGCGCGGAGCTCCGAAAGTCTGCGGCAGGCTCGCGCCGAGGCGGCGCGACGCCGGCCCCAGCGCGGGCGCTGCGGGTCGCAGCCCCAGCGGGGGAGCGCCGCCTGGCCCAGAATGGGCCGAGGTCGCCCGCGCTCACCCGCGTCGGGGCCGCGCCGGAACGCCCGCGCTGGGGCCGTTCGATCGGGAACGATCGACCCTGAGATCCTGGCGACTTCATTTGTTCGAGCGGGGGCATTCGCGTACGATCCGGCTCGAAAAATGACGCAAAAAGATTGGGTCTAGAGCTCCGGGCTCGATTTTTCACGGCGTCTCAATTTTTTTGAGGCGTCGGATCTCAGGGGAACGGCCCACG